TCTATAGATTTCTCGCTGAATGCCATTTTTATCAATGTCTTGTAAAGCTTGTCCAACATTGCAACAACTGCTATGAAAGAACACATTTGTGGGTAACCATACAGAGTACTCTGTATTGGTCTGAAGATCAATTTATTTATGAAAAAGCAACACTGCAGTACAACATTTGAAAGCTAATACTAACACAAGCTAAACAATAAACACACCTAAGCAATTAAGAGCAAAACTCTAAATGAATAATTACAAATAATATCCACTTGTGCACAGAGAAAACTGAGTAACTCTACTTTTAACTTTGTACCTGTTGTAAGGCATCTCATTTTTTGGAAGTTTGGTATACATAACTATGCTTGATGAAACTAAGCCTAAATCTAAAGATAACACACTTCAGATAAACATGAGTGGACTGTTTGTGTTGCCAGAGCAGGCAGTAGAGAACTGCAGCTTGCCCAACAACATTTTATCACCGTGACCCATGAAAACAAGGCCCGACAGTTTTATCTTCCCTCAAGAGAGGAATTAAAGTGGCTAGAGGAAGAGATAAAAATGCATGATTAAGGGAATTTTGAAGCTTTTATTTCAATCTAGAGATTCAGGTTAGTGTCATCTCTCTTCTGGTGTTGATGGTGGGATTTAATTGGTTATAACAGACTGCAAATGCTGTATTCAAACCTTTTCAGTACTTTTGAATAACAAAATGATTTCTTTCAAGTACATGGTTAACATTCAATAAAACCAATAATCATACCATTTGAAATGTCCTCACTTATATGATTAATGATTGCTTCTTGCTTTCACTGAATTATATGCTGTTTAAAGGGAAACGTCATTATTTAGTGTTTTAAAAAGAAATTTGTACAGAAAAAGGTCACCAATTGTTCATGAATCTATATTTGTACTTATAAGAAACAACATTACTTTAGTAATATTTCCTGGCTTTCAAGACATTTACATTATGCAAATATATTATGCCAAAAATCTTTGAAAATCTTTAGGCAAAGCTCAGTAATGAACCTTCTCTCCAAGTATCAAGTACCCTTAAGGACTTACTGGTGTCTGAAAAATTAGTAGCCTGTAGATATTGTACTTTTTACTTTACCACTGCTTTAACTGGTAGTGTGTTTTGTTCATTTGCATTTTTTGTATCAACAGTGTCATTTGTTATTATGAGCACATGCAGTTTTAATCTTTTTTGCAGTACAATTAGAATTTAGGTTGTGTAAGTTAACGCTGTTACTTTCCCAATTATTCAAGTATGCTTTCAACTTTTTCACTACTGTTAAATAAGTGCAGATGCAAACACACACAGTCATACACACACACTCTCTCTCACACACACACACTCACACACAAACGCACACACTGACAGCTACACAATGTTGACTCAAAATGTGCTGTCACTGCTAATATGTTAACAACTGACCTCAGCACCATGTAACACATTTAACCACCACACTATAAATACAGAATCTTTTTTGGAGAAAAAAGTCGTCTCTGTCTTCATACGTACAATGGGATCCAAAGTCTGGGACCACATTGAAAATCTAAGGTTTAATTTCATGAAATCTGGAAATAAACAGTTTTAGAATTTTGAAAAATTTAAACAAAGACAAGATTCTGCCTCTCTTCACAATTCAGATTTAATCAATTTTGTGGCACTGATCATGTTAATGCCTTTGTACAAAAAAAGTTTTTTAAAAGTCTTATCTTTTGTTCAGGTGACTTTCAGGTGAATTTGTTTTACAAATCAGAGGCTTTTTCACAAACTTGAGAGTCACTGCCAGTTTGTGTGCACGCTGTGACAAACCAAATACTAAGAAATTTCAAATTCATTTTAAAATTGAAAAGATTGAACTTTTTACTGAAATTGTTATGCTGATAATACATTATAAATTATATTATAATGTAGAAAATAATATAAACTTTGTATTAAATGGAATACAAAGGAATGCAAAAAAGAAGCATTTTCACTAGTGGTATCAAACTTTTGGACCACTGTATGGAAAAGCAAAGTGTTGAAAATGTTTGGCTATAGTAAAACTTGTCATTAGTGCCACTCATGTAGCTTAGAATTAGCCCTTTACTTCCATCTTCACCTTTCTAGTTTTATGGCTAACAAATAGCCAAGTAAGCAAAGATCTTTGTCCACAGAAATTAACCCCCATCTTTTGAGCACTACCTCCTCCTGCTTAAAGAATGCATGCTATGAAAAGTAAAGCATGCAAGAGGCGCTGTATATGTAAATTAATATCATAGACAGAAAGTCATTCAGACAGATCTTTTTTGCCTCTAGTTAGGCTATTTCATCACACACTCATTTTGCCCATAGCTAATTTAATTCAAACTTTCATTAGAGTAAAACCTATAAAGTGTGAAGAGCCCACTGTGTCCGGCTGGGTTCCTCTGCAAAGATTACAATTTCTCCTCTTCTAACACTCAGAATTAAACTCACAAAGGCCTAATGAGCTGAATCAGGTGTGTTTAATGAGGAGGAACACTAAACTCTGTAGTGTTGTGGAACCCAGTTTGGCACGCCCGGTTTAATGTGAAGTAATCCCCTTTTTTTAAAGCCCAACCAGTGTTTTCCAATCAAAGCACAGTGTTCATGTCTGTAGCCTCTTCATTAGTACCCCTGAATTTCAGCTATTTAGCTATTTAATCTTCTCTGTAATTGGCCATGGTAGGAGTCGTCCTGTAATTCGAATGGTCAGGTTTGTGAAAGTGTGTGCAAGGAGCAGGCTTTGCCTCAGGCAGATGAGAGGATGAGGAGAGATGAGAGATGAGGCGAGAGTACAAGAGACTAAAAGAACAATTCAGCGGCTTAATTGAAGTCATTAACCAGCACAGGCCAGAGGGTTTTAATCAGACCAAAGGCTTAACCTCCAAGGCCTTTCCTTTTACCTTCAGTTTTCGAAAGCCTCCACTTCTTGTCCCCATTGGGTTTCTGATCATTCTACTGCCTTATTATTTTTTGGTAGCCTATAAAGATGATCGTCAATGAAGCACAGCTCTTGGAGAACATAGTGAAGGTTTCAGATGATAAAAATAGCCCTTAAAATGATGTAGTTTTAAAGAATGAAGGGAGATCTCTCGCCATCATATTATAACGCTCCTGGTCATACAATAAAAAAGCACGGATAATGAAAGTTACATATTCTCCAAGGTTACAGATTCAGCTTTTTAAAAAACATCAAGGTGCACTTTGCTGATTTGAATGTTCTCTGCATTCCTTCCCTGGAAGTTGAATTGGAAGATTTCCGTTTCATTTTTTGGAAGACAGTGTGGTAAATAAATGGCAATAAATCCTAAAACTTAATGAAGCAATCTGTTATCTACTATCTTTCCATCAATAGGAAGCAGAAGTGTCCTCCATTCTTCCCTGCTGCTGTTAGAGAAGATTATTGCATTGATCTAAACTCCAAAACTACTGGAGCCTACCATCTTCTCTACCATCTTCTCTTTCATCAGCCCATAACCTTGGTGTACTCTCCTTACCTTTAATTTGCTCCAACATGCCTTATTTCAGGTTGCTGAATCCAGACTTATTGTTGTTTCAGCTATTTCAGCAAGAGGCTATCCAATATCACTGAGATCAATAAGAGATGAATAGCTGGAGCTTAATTAGCATGGACATTTTTGATTGAATGAAGACATGTAATATACTGTATGGCTTAAAAGGCCTGATATACAGTACACACTAAATTATTTGAGTATACCTGTAGGGAAGCTGCTGCTTTAAGATCAGAAGTCAGTGATGATATTGGAATTTGGGACCATCTACTGAAGCACAGAATCTCAAAGCCATTTCTCATAAATCTATACCGCATGGCATATGTTCTATAATATTAGGAAAATAAAAGGTAGAAAATATTATTGTTCGTGGTTCCATTTTGCTGGGAATATCTGCCTTTGCTTTGGGCCAAATGTGATAGAACAAAATTGATTATAAGGCCATGAACTTGAAGAAAGTTGCAAGCTCATTGGTTAGCAAATTATGCCTCCTGCACTGAAACAAAACGAACCCAAACAGGAGAGGAAAGGAGAGAGCAGCAGAAAAATATTGCTCCTGGGGCATAATGTGCAGAGGAAAACTAATCAAAAGAAAGCGATAATATACCTCAATTCCCGCAGTTATGAGTCACCTCACACGCACAAATACACACACACTCTCATCAGTTTTGGGGACTATTGTGTATAAACAGAAAAGGAGAAAGACTTTTACCTCCTCGGGGTGTAACTCTCTGCATTATCATACAGAAAGGGGAGAGTATGTGTTTGTTTTCTACGTCTGAAATTTCTTTCGTTGTCTGGTGATATGCGTGTGGGTGTGTATGCATGTGTGTGAGTATGCTGTAATGGTCCTCTGGAGAGCATGCTGGGCATTTCCTGTGCTGTGGAGTGGAAAATTGACTCTGTGTCACAAACTAATCAAACAGCAGAGAAGGTGAAGAAGAGGAGATTACACTGGGCTTAGAGATGGAGGAGGGGATTGCGGAGGTTGCTGAGCTATCAGGCAGGATTAGCGTGAGCAGATGCTTCCAAAACAATAAGATCGGCAAGATCTGCCAGGATCCAAGACCTTTCAATGTCATGTTCTGCTTGAGGTGGGGGGACAGGTTTCAATGTCAGGAAAAAAAACCCTTAGAGAGAGGAGATATGTAGGAAACTGACACGTCAGGTGAATTTAAGGGTGAAACAAACGGATCTTTCTTTCTGTTTTCTTTCTTTCTTTGCAGCTTGTTTCTCCTGTGATGTGCACCCACAGACAGCCCAGGGTTCTTATTGCTAAAAAAAATTCCCAGGTTCAAACAGGAAGACCGTAGCAGGAAGAGATCGAAGGTAGGCTTTTCACCAGGACTGCCATGTTCACTGAGCCCTGATGCATCTTGGGTAATGGAGTTCTCAGGGTCAGTAGCACGACTACAAGCAGTGTTTTTCTCATGCCTGTTCCGATGCCCTTTGTTTGTATGTTGGTGTGGTTGCCAGTCTGTGCTCCTTCAGTCGCTAGGAGGCGCTTGTTTTGGGTGGCGGCGGGTCTTTGTTGTCGTGTGTGTGGACAGGAGAGTCTGAAGTTTTGGCTGTTTTCCGAGGTGGACTCTGCTCACCAATGTCATGTAGCGAAGGCTCCCTGTACATGGCCACTAGGGAGAGAGAGAGAGAGAGAGAGAGATGGGGTAGAGAACAGAGAAAGAGTAGGAAAGAGATAGAAACGAGGAATGGGAGAAACAAGGAGTGAGAGAAAAAGACAGTGAAATAGAGATGATGAGCAAAGAAGAGAAAGAAAGAGGGAGGATGAAAAAGAGTGGGAGACCGTGTGTAAAAAAAAAGAGATAGAGAATAAGAGAGTGAGGAAGAGAGCAGATAAGAGAGAGCAAGAAAGAGGGAGAGAGAAAAAGAGAGCAGGAGAGAAAGGGAGAAAAGAGGCAGGAGAAGGAGAGAGAAAGTGAAAGAGAATGTGTGAAAAGGAGAGAGAGAAAGAGAGATAGTATCCCTATTATTTTCTAGCTGTTGTAAATAATGCTAAAATGTATTAAAAGCATTTACCAACAACAATAGGTGTCTCCTGTTATTGTTCCACTGACTGTACAGTGCATTTCTATAGCAGAGTTGTATTAACTTGGGGCAAATGATGAATGAATGGTGTACCATCAATAGGCTAGACTTTGGCAACAACTTTTGCTCCTTTAAACACAGTATTGTCAGTGCCTTTTCAGCAGTGGATGTGTGTGTTCTGCAGACAGAGAATATCATAGCTAGCGCACCTTCGATGAGTTTGGGCAGGAAGTGGGCAGCTCCTTTTGTCTTTTTGACCCGGTTGCCCTTCATGACCTGCCCATCGCGGTTGATGCCGATGTACCAGGCTCGTCCAGACTGCGTTTGCCGGTACAGGATGGATGAGTAGGTCACATAGTAATTTTCAAACACACACTCTTTGAACTTACACTCCGGTGTGAAGTGTTCCTGTAACACAAAACACACACATACACAAAAAGGTTAGTTATGATGAAAACAGGATGCAAATGCTGATATTTCTCCAGCAAGATATTTTGATATTTTCAGCATGAGCTGACAGGGCTGTGGAGCATTTCATTGCTATTGTAAGATAACTTTATGTATTGCATATACATATATATGCATGACTCTGTGTATAATATATATATGTTTATATATATGTTTACTATACACTATGTATAGTATATGTGTTTATAAGTACCTATATGTAACAATATGTCCCATGTGTATAATAATATCATATGATATATATTATATACAGTTGTATGACAAAGTTTAAATGCCCCTGGTCAAAGGACATATTTTATTGATTTTCTAAGTGAAAATAGGTTAACACACCCTCTACAGTGAACTTAAATATGACTTTTTTGGACTTGTTGTGCACAATTTTTATTAATTTGCTGAGTTTAACAAACTGGGAAAAACCTAAAATGTAAAAAGTGCAATAACTTTTGCACAGGCCATATTTTATGTTTCATTTTTCTTCAGTAATGCACAGTAATGATGCAGTAATGTGCGGAAGTGAGTTCTGTTTAAAGGATGTGCACTTTTTTTCACATAGAAAATCAACAAAACGTAATTTGGCTGGATACTAATACTAATGTATATGTTAGTACTTACATGTAATAATAATAATATGTCCCATATGCATTATATCCATGTAAACATTGAAATGTAGTAACTCCACTAAACCTGACCTTAACCTCAGCAACCAAAAAAAAACAACAAAACAAAACAAAACGATTTGGCGCTTTAGGTTTTAATAAATAAAACATACCTGACAGATTAGCCTTTTTCTCCTCTGGTTTTTCTATAAAGTCAGGATATTTTTGTCCTGATATCATACAAAAGTCTCTCTCTCTCTCTCTCTCTCTCTCTCTCTCACACACACACACACACACACACACACACACACACACACACACACACAAACCCACATCCCTTTCATCCACTGCTTTTCCTACATTAGGTATGTGCACACTAGCACACTCACTCACTCAGCTCATTTTAGGTGGACAGCAGTGCCACAGCCTAATCTCACCCTCATACCCACAAAGCAGCAAACACCTTCAGTCTCTAAATCCCTTCAGGAGATTGGAGCCTGTCAGTAAGCAAAGACTAACATCTTACTCTTCGCATCTTTCTTACTCCCTCTCTCCTCTGTCTCTCTCTTGCTTCTCCTTCCATCCATCCATCCCTTCCCTCTGCCTCTCTTTCTCAAGTGCTCCCTCCATCCCTAACACCCCCTCCTCTCCCCCCGTCATTTTGTAACCTTGTCAGGGAACAAACCAATTTTCAGGATTGATTGGAATCCTTGGTGTGACTGGTGAGCTGAGCAGCTGAATAAGGAGTTTGCTCTTCACTCCTTTTCTCTCTCTCTCTCTCTCTCTCTCTCTCTCTCTCTTGCTTCCAGTGTTTGGAACATACACATTGTCAGCAGGGGGAACAGTATGTTATTCATAAATTAAGTACATTTGCCTTGATACATTTCTGTAGCAAAAAAGACTGCAATTAATTTTTATGGTTAATATTTTCTTTGGAAATGACATTACACACTTCTACTGTAATGCAATGGTGAACTTAAAGGAATTCCCCAGATCTTTGACCTCAAACTTACTTTTTCGTTGAGTATACTCCAAAAAATCCAGCATAACCCTATGTTGGGCGTTTTTCCTGCACGCAGTGGTACTGCACGGTACAGTTACTAACCCAAACCCAGAATAATCTATACCCTGTGTCCTTTTCTCAGTGATCAACAGAACCATGAAAGGGGTTCTCTGAAGGTTGATTGGTGGTCACATGATTTCTCATGTGACTGTAGTGCTAACAATATACATAAACAACAGTTGCTTCAAGATCTGATTTAGTTCTTTCTGTGCATTTGGTTTTATGTGCAAAGGCGCAATGAATTTTCTGGCTAGCTAGTGTTTTTTAAAAATGGAATCATCTGAAACGAATGAAGATTCCTGATAATGGGGCGACTGCTTTTGACCAATCAGTGGTCTGCACCATTTCTAGCCCTACCCATACATTCATACTCAGCATGCTTGGTACCCTAGCAAACAAGGGTAATTAAGTTCAGCATGAGTATAAGGTACGTTACAGTTCACTTGGCAGCTGGATTTGTAACTGTATTGCAACACAGTACCTGGTAGAAACACTGCCACCTGTAATGTAAACACAGGGCCTGTCTTGTATCTGGACGAGGAGGAGGTTGCTTTGTTCTACTGTATACTGGTACATGGTTGGAAGGATGAAGTTCTTCTTGATCTTGATCTTCTTCTTGGTCTTATTGGGCAGATACTGAAGCTACTGCCAGTTGGCTTATATTATGAAGCTTGACTTCAGTTTCTGTTCTTTTAGTAAGCACAAGGAAACATATCAAAAATGATTGTGCATGGTAAATGACCATGTGCTACAGATGTGGCAGACAGAGATTAGTTTGAACAATGCAGGAGTATTCATTGAACCTATGTCTTCTCTGTTTAAAACTATTTTAAACAAAGTGCACGTCTTCGACACATGAGATCCTGTCTTGTGCAGATATTTGTCCACCTATTAAATCTTAGCCTCACTGTAAAACACCTTCGGAAGCAAATAGCAGGGGCTTAGGGCCAAGCCTTCCTCCAGCTTTAATTAATTAATTGAGGAATTAAGTGAATTAAAGTGAGGCTCTCAGAGGACAGGGCAGGATGGGAACACGATAGAGAGAACAAGAGAGAAAGAAGGTGTGTGTGTATGTGTGAGTATAGCACTTGCTTTAACTCCAGACATGGGGAGCCTCTCAATTAGGCAGTAATTAGGACCCTCTACATAGGCGCCTATCCAGTGCCTCCTCATTAAACTCTAAAGGGTCCAGTGCGGCCTCTTAAAGCCCAGCAGCCCCTTAGAGACCATCAATAAATAAGAACAGCACTGAGTAAGAAGAGGGAATACATAAACAGAGAGGGAGAGAGAACGAGAAAGAGGGAGAGATGGAATACATAAAAAGAGTGTGAAAGAGACCGAGAGAGAGGAAGAGCAGGAGGAAGATGATCCAGAACTATCGTCCAGCATCAGTACCTTACCTCACTATTGCTCTTGTGGCTGAATACAGTCAAATTCTCATAGAAGTCCTTAATAAAACATTTCTAAAATTTTGTTACTAGTTCCAAAGTAGCCCCAATCTGTACAGTCTATATTATGAAAACTGAACCCAAAAACAGCCTGTTTTGAATTCACTGTTTCTGTGATGTCACAAAAACCAACACATTCACATACATCAACCAGCCACTTCATTAAGTATACCTAACTTGTAGCTACACTCTTCGTCCATATATCAGCTTACCATATAGGTGCACTTTGTAGGTCGACAGTTATAGACTGTAGTCTGCCTGCTTCTCTGCAAAACTCGTTAGCCCCCAGTACCATTTTCCTCAATGGTCACGACCGCCACAGAGCAGGTATTAGTTGGGTGGTGGATCATTCTCAGCACTGCAGTGATACTTTCATGGTATGTCCACACGTCCTCTTACTGTCCACTTTATTAGACACACCTACCTTGTTTGTCCACCTTGTAGAGATAGTAGCTCATCTCTCGCTGCACAGTTTGTGTTGGTCATCCTCTAATCCTTCATCAGTGGTCACAGGATGCTGCCTGCAGGACGCTGTTGGCTGGACATTTTTGGTTGGTGGATGGTTCTCAGTCCAGAAGTGACACTGAGGTGTTTAAAAACTCCAGTAGCACTGCTGTGTCTGATCCACTCATACCAGCGCAACACACACAACACACCACCACGTTGGTGTAGTGCTGGGAATGTTCCACCACCCAAATAATACCTGCTCTGTGGGGGTCCTGTGCACCTATATGGTAAATGGACCTTATAAAATGGGCAGAGTGTAAATTCACAGAGGTGTACATAATATCTGCCTATTCAGTCTACAGCATATTAGCCCTGTCCAGTCACGTTATTGTTGTAAGGACAATTTCAGAGAGGTTGGAAAATGATCATGTTTAAACATATTATATTCACATGTTATATGTTTCTGGTACATAACACCACAAAATATCACAAGTAGACCTCTATGGAAAAAAATAAAACACAAGAAAAATGTAACATATGGGCCCTTTAAGATTAGTAGGCAATGTATAAGCCTATGTCATAGTAGTAGTATTTAGTATGCAATTGGGATACATTCTCTCTCACTCTGTGTATGTTTCTCTATTCACTTCTTCAATCCCTCTGAGCCATTCTGCTTCTCCTGCTCCATTTGTCTGTTCTGTTCGGGCTCCATTCTTCACTTTGATTTTCCTCTTCCCTCATTCCTTTTCTTCTCTGCTATCCTGCTCTTACCTGTTCTCTTAATCACTCTCTTTACACACACTGATGGAGGCTACACTGCCGTGGCAGCGCTCTTGTCTTCTCCTATTCCTCTCACAAGGAAAAAGCAACTCGTCCCCCATATGGAAGAATTTCCCTTTAATGGTCCTGCCTGCAGTTTTAAAGGAAAGCTGCATTACTATCAATCAGCAGCAGGTGGCACACTTTCACTCAGCACTTAGTCATGAGAGTACTCATGATCTAGCACTGCACTGCTAAACCAGTGTCTATTCCATAGAGAGCCAGATTAACTCATTTAACCCCCAGGGCTTGTATGTGTCTACAGTTCAGTTCCTCAGTGTCATAACTACACAATTTACATATATGTTTCATAGTAACTCATAACAGTTACTGAATAATAAATCATATGAATAGGCAATAGGAAAGGGCCCATCTGCTAATTTTTTCATGTATTTTATTTTCTCCCCCGAGGTCTACAGCTTTATCTCTTAGATTTAAAGAGGCTGTTACTGTCTTTAAAGGCTGGTAAACAGTCATATGCAAAATTTGGGTGCCCCTGCTCAAAATTACATGTTTTGTTGATTTTCTCAGTGAAAATAAGTTAACATGCCCTCTATAGAGAAGACA